AGAGAAGATTAGCATGGCCCCTGCACAAGGATGACACGTTCAATCTTGAGTGGAAAGCTGCTACGGCAGCAAAGTTTAACAGGGGAGTGTACAGTCAACTGCCTCATTCTATCGCGTACAAACTCAAACACTGTCAGAAATTCAAAAATATGTCTTTTGCTCAGGTTGCTTCCCTTCCTCCAACTCAAAACTTACCACCAAACCAAGTTATTAACCCCACCATTCCTATTAACTCATCCTTTTCTCTTTTCAATTGGAGAAATACGACTTCGTCGCTTAAAGAACGTCCCTATATGGGGCGTTCTACTCCTCTTTCCTCTTCCCCAAACTCTCTCTTTCTTGACACCCGTCAATTTAAAATCCCTGACAAAGTTCTTGTTGATGAGTTCAAAGATGAACTGATTGGAGTTGCATTTAACCCTGCTGTTGGTTTTATCGAGCTAGTTTTCTCGTCACCTGAATCGTTCGAAAAACACCTTTCTACTCCAATTGAATACAACTCTAAACAAATCCATCTTTCCCCTCCAAGAAACTACATCCGTAAAAAACTAACTCTCCATCTACATGGAATGCCTATTTTAAAAAGAGAAACTATCCACACTGCCATATCAGAAGCTCTTATGGAACATGGTAACATTATTGAGATTGCTCCTGTCTTAATCTCCAATACTAATCTTTTAACCCCAAAATGGGATGTTGTTATTGAACCAAACCATAAAAAACCCATTCCTACTTCACTAACTATCCTTGAATCAACTGTTGTACTAACTTGGGTTAACTCCCCTAAAGTTTGTCTCCACTGTAAAAAAGATGGTCATCTACATACTAAATGTCCTGAAAAAAACTTCCCAAAACATCCTGTAACTAACATTGCATCACTTCAACCTACTAACACTCTTTCATCTCATACAGAAAATTCAAATGCTCATATCAGTACACATAAGCCTGCTAACTCTCAATTTTCTTCCCCTAAAACCCCAAATAGTAATCTCTCTTTTGACAACAATTCAAATCAATCAACAAATCAACACTCTGTTACAGAAATCAACACTTCTAATTCTTTACCAACATCTTACAACACTGCAATGAATTCATATTCACCAGATAATCATACAATCAACAATACAGATGTCGTCATGCAAATTGACACAACAATGTCATCTCCAGTATCTCAATCTAATGATATTCACTCATCAATCCATGCTCCTTCAGCAATGAACAATGAAAATAGTCATAAGAAAATGGAATCTGAATATACATCAACTAATTTCTCAGAAAACATGTCTATAGATCCAGTTGACCCCTCCACTCTCTCTGGACCAAACTACAACCCTTCTGATCCCACCCCTTTCTTAAATATACCTTCATCTAAGAAATATAACCTCCGTTCTACCACCACCAACTAAATACATTCTATTAACATATGATTATGAATATTATCTCATTAAACACTGCTGGTTTGAACTATAATAAGCTTTCTTCAATCATTCACACTTTTAAATTTTTTCACCCTATTGCAATATGCTTACAAGAAACCTTTACTTCTTCTTCTTTTCCTTTAAATTCTTTTGAACAATCTCGTCTCTCTCAACTATGGTCAGGCCAAATCTACTTCTCAAAACACCTTGTTACTCTTATATCCCACAATTTTAAATCTACCCTCTTTTTTATTTCTTCAGATCAACGTATTATGGACATTACTATTTCTTCATCATCTTCCTCTTTTAATTTAAGAAACATATATGCTCCTGCAGATTTCTCTCTCAATCGTTCTTTCTGGCATTCTTTTCCCCCTATTCCCTCCTCTCCAATTATTGTTGCTGGTGACTTTAATACTGCTGTTTCTCTAAGAGATCGTTGGAATTCAAACTCTAATACATTTCACTCCCCTTTCTCATCCCTTATGCCTACTCATTTTCCTAACCTGGTTGATCTAGCTTCCTCTTCACAATATCCTAAGTTTACCTTTTTCAGAAACTACTCTTCATACTCCTCAAAATCTCGCATTGATTTTATCTTATTATCCCCTTCTCTTATTAAGCCTACCCACTCTTCTTTCACTCATTTTGTTCCTTTTTCAGATCATAGAGCAGTAATAATTAAACAATCTCCTATACCTCATTCAACCCCACTTCATTGGAAAATGAATACATCCTATCTCTGCAATAGTGAGATACAAGATAACATATCTAATATTCTTCTTTCACACACCCCTCCATCCTCTCCTTCAGATTGGGACTTATGCAAACAAGAAATTTCCACATATTATCGCTCTATATCTGCTTCCTTTTCTAAAAAATCCAGATCAGCCATTATTAATCTTTCTAATAGGATAGTTAAGCTTCAAAACTCTCCCCATCCTAATAATACTAAAATTATTCATCTCAAAAAGGCACTTTCTAAACTCCAGCACAAACAAACAATCTCCCTTGCCATTAGATCCCGTGTACGCTGGTTTGAACAAGGAGAGAAATCATCAGCTTACTTCTTCTCTCAATATAAGCAACATCAACAAAACATTAATATTGATGAACTATACATTCCTGCTCCCTCTAATCCATCTTCTTTTTCTCTTTCTCAAGACAATACACTCATTTCTTCTCATATTCTATCACATTTTTCTAATCTATGGTCATCTTCTTTTCCTTCCCCTCCACTTGACTCCCCTTTTTTACAACACATTCCTCATCTTCTCCCATCCTCTTATGCATCCCTGAACAATCCTATCACACATGAAGAACTATATGATGCTATAAAATCAAAAGAAGACCACTCATCCCCTGGCCCTGATGGCCTTCCTTATAAATTCTATAAGCTCTTCCCAACACTTATTTCTAACATACTCATTCCTATCTTTTCTATGATCTCGTCTGGCCTCTTTCCCCCTCCTCTTTCATGGTCTGAAACTACTACTATTCTTATTCCAAAAAAGAATTCTGATCCCCATTATGTCTCTAATCTTAGACCTATCACCTTATCTAATACTGATATTAAGCTCCTGTCTACAATTCTTGCTTCTCGTTTCCAATCCCATGCTTCATATCTAATCCATCCATCTCAAACTGGATTTATGAAATCGCGCAATATATATGACACCATCCTTGACATAAATTATTTCTCTACCATTCCTGACCCTCCCCCAGAATCATTTCTTCTTTCTGTTGATTGGTCTAAGGCCTATGACAGAGTTTCTCATTCTTGGTTAGATCTACTTCTCAATTCTATTTTTCCTCTCTCTTTTGTTTATTTAACTCAATGCTCATACCACAATCGTTCTACATCATTCCAACTAAATTCTTCCCTTTCTCCTTCTCTTCCCATTCATCAGGGTGTCCCCCAAGGAGACCCTTTCTCACCCCTTCTGTTTAATCTATCTATTGAACCACTCTTTAACTATATTCGATCTTTTCCTACCTTAGTTATCCGGGCTTATGCAGAT